ATAATTAAAATATTATAGTGTTACAAGAAGTAGCCACAAAGTTTTGTGTTTATCATTAGTAAAAATTATATTTACAAAAAATAAATTTTAGATTTTTTTTATATCTTATTGGATTTTGTATCTTATTAAATATTAAAAATAATTATTAATATTTAAAATAGCCACTTTCCTTGATATATCTATAAACTTTAAGATATTTCAGAAATGCATCATCGATAACCGCTTACCTTTTCAAGGATCTATTTTCCTAGCATAATAGAGCGGTCTTTATCAACTGATGAAAATTTTTTGGTGCATAGTCTTTGGTATTTAATAAGATATAACTAACATTCCATAATTTGTTTTATTTTATATATGTTACTATCCAGATAGCAAGCTGACGTTATTTATGGTCATTTTGACGTCAAAATTGCAACTGTAATGTCATTTTGGCGTCAAAATGACGATAAATAACGTCAGCTTTTTATCTATGTAATGACTTAATGAACACATAAAACTTTGTCCTAGAAACTTTTTTGTCACCTGGTATTCTTGGCACTTTCATTCTTTAAATCACGGACATAAAGGATTAGCGTAAATTGACTTCAGTGTTTCTTCGTTACGAATATAGCGAAAGTACACAGAAAGAATGAGACGTGCTACAAGTGGAAGGTGCATACGTGGTCCATCAATGTCATTAGTGATTTGATTCGGAGCAATTGATATTTTGTGATTAAGACTGCGGTTATATCTAATACAGCTTTCTCAACTACGACAAGCAGTTTCGCGCAAAGCACGTTTAATCTATTATTGATCAAGTGGTGGAATGTTTCCGCTTGTATTCACATATATCTGATTGTAATCCCGCGACAAATTACTTTGATATTCCTTTAATCAAATTTTCATTTTGCGACTAATTTTCTATATTTATTGCAACACTTGAAATATTGATTTTGTTAATGTTTATAAGTTAATATTAGTTAATATTAGTTTCAACAAAACTTCTATCTTTTCGAGAAATTTCTACGTACCTTAGATATTTATAAGAATAATTTTATAAAGAAAATAATATTATCAGACCTATATCAATCAAGAAACCTTCTTCGTGTCACATATGCAATGAAAAAAAACTAAATTTTAATAAATCATTTATTTGAATAGTGCCAACTAAATATTTATTAAATGCAAGTATATATTTATTTGATACGAACATTAATTTCATTTAATCATCATTTCTTTTTATCGAATAGATATTTTCTATAAGTAAATGTTTAGTTGATACTGTGTTCAAATAAATATTTATTAAAATTTAGTATATATATTTTTTCTCATTGCTATTTATTATATGTGTTTAGTTCCCTTACATACATGTTGTTCAAGAATATCTCATAAGGATGAGAATAACAATTTCCCTGTTGTTATTCTCTGTAATGTTTAATGAAGTATCTCGATACTTCATGGAATACGGTTCCCGTGTTCTCTTTTTCTAAATGAATTATTCTGTTAAAATGCCTTTTTATTTCGCGCATCCCACGCTATTCTGACTTACGTCACCCCGCATGATGAGACGCATTCGTTGCCAATCGCGAGTACCAATAAATGCGCATCGCGCGTCCGCAAAGTTTCAGCCCTCCATCCCTCCGCAAGCGTCGCGCACAACAATCGTTTCCGTTTATTCGCCGACAATGCGCCAAACTTTCCAGTTGGACCGCGCGCTGGCTGGCTGCACGACGCTGGGTAAGCTCGGTACGATGTATTTGCTCGACTGTTCTCGGCCGGGAAACTTGGAAATTTATTCTTGGGGAAATTCGCGCGTTTGAATTTTTAGCAGGCTGACGCGCAGAAGTTTCTTTCTTACGGTGGCAGCGAAACGCCGCCCACCCTCTCGCTTAATCGTCTATAAGAAAGCGATTCTGTTGGAGTCAATCTCTGCCTTCTCTTCACGTGAAACGAGGGCAAAAAGGTCGCTAGAGATCCGAGAATTCATTCGTTGTGCTCTTCACCCTCTTCTCCACGCGAGAAGTGATTGATCGATCTCTCTCTCTTTCTCTTTCTCCCTTTGCGTTTGTTTCGCGCTGAACGTGTTCAAATGGATCGAGAACAGTTTGTTACTGACTTAACATGCGGCTAGAAAAGGAAATTAAATTCTTGATCTAGAACAAGAACGTACACTCCAATATTGACAGACGTATCGATTATAACTGATTTTTATCAGCGTGAGATAGTAAAGATGAATAATTTTTCTTTTACAATTGCAATAGAAATATAACAACAACAATAATAAGTTCTGAAAATAATTTAATATATATTGCGTAATTTTATAGATATATTTTCGTACGTAACAATGTATTGTACTGGAATAAAAGTTCATAGCGTTACTTCATTTGTATTATGTATTTTAAAAAAAAATTGTTTGTTATACCTTTCAATGATTTTTAATGGAGTTATAAGCAATCAAAGTCAAAATGTTAATTTTATTTAATTCGGATAAGAATTAATAATAGAAAAATTTTAGGAACATTTTTAAAGTGATTTTGTACAAAACTTTAAGCTTTTACGTTAGAAAGTCGAAAGTAATTGCAAATCTTTCTTGGACACGTGACAGATCCACAAAGTGAGAATATCTATTTTGTCCAGCTCGTAGTTTTATATGTAAAAATTACAAATTCACAGAAATTCAAAAGACATAGTTTCGAAAGTAGAAATGTATGCTTTAAAATCCTTTTATTAAATTTAAATTTTGTTTATTTTTAATGAAGTTATAGCTACTTGAATTTGAAGTTTGTAGCGTTACTTTTGTATCAATTTAATATTTCTCTTCCCTGTCGAAGATCGAAATGATCGATAAGCGTAACATCCCACAAATTTTTGTACAAGGTATAATCAAGGAGATAGATAAAGCTTATATAACTTTGATGACGTTAAAGCACTTTGAAGCAACATCTTTGTCGTCCGCGTCTCTTCCTTTTACCTTCACCTCGTTGGATTGTAATTCCCAGCGCATTGATTCGACGTAGGTACATATGACGCCGACTGCAGTACACAACGGCCGTAACTTCGAGAACTTTTGTTTGAATTATGTTGAACGAATCGTGGAAACTGGTGACGCTATCGGTGCGTCAGTCGACAGAAACAGTCGTAATGTGCCACTCGAGTTCAGTTCTGTCGCCATCAAGGCAAGGCAGTAATGGCGTTGCAAGCTGCAGGCAGCTACCAACTACCATTGATGATACGAATCGCACAAAAGCCCACTGCGAGAATGTCCCTTTGTGAAAGAGAGAGACAGAGAGATACAGAGATAAGGTTGTTTCTTTTATCCATTTGCTTGCTTCCCAGAAACATTGTTGCTCGATGCAACACCGAAAAATTCGGCTATCGGGAAGTCAAGTACAATTTTCACAACAATTACAACATTT